CCCGCCTACTGCGGCCCGCCGGAGTTTCATATCAACTGCGTCAACGACTCGCCGGAGCTGACCATCTTGTCGCTGAGTTACCGAGTTCTCCAACTCGACCCGGTTCGTCGGAATCTTAAGCTGGCCCGCTCAGACCTCTGGACCTCGACCTGCACAGACAAGGTCTTCAACTCAACTATGAAATCCGAGTTCTTCGCCTACAACGAGAGCGACGACATGGACGTGACCATTTTCTACGGCTGCAATTCGACGATCACTACGCCGAAGCTCTCGAATTGGTTCCACTGCAACAACAATCTGGCTTTCAACGACTCTTACTACTTGATCGGGCCGGTCCCGCTAGACCCGATTATGAGCACTTTCAAGTGTCAGATTGGAATTACGGTGTCGATTCTCAAAACCACGGCGGCGAAGCTCGTCGCCAATCGGTCGCTGTTTCAGGAAGCGATCAATGAAGGCTTCACTGTTAACTATACCAACCCTTATGATAATCAATGCGCTCAGTGTCTTGGTGTAAATGGGCTGTGTGGGTTTGACTCGGGTTCGAGCAAACCCGTTTGCATTTGCGGCAATCGGGTTTGTGACCCAGCAGGTATTTTCAACAGTCTTTGAAGTTTTGATTGGTTTTTTTTTCTCTCATGGGTTTTGTAGAATTTACTCATAGTAGTTTTGGGCAATTTTTAGGTAGTGTTTTGAGTGCTCAGTATCCAAAAATGGCTTCTTTGTCTTCTGGTTTTGTTACCTGAACTCCTATGTTGATTTTGATGACAGAAAAACAGAGGAATAGCCTTTTATGCACTGATTTGCTCTTAGTCCCTCTTTAGAAGACCATTGCACTACTTAACTAGTGTTAGGATCTCAATCTTTCATAGATTCATTTGCTTTGGTACATGAGTTTTTGGTTGCTTCGGTTTTTCAAACGGGCTTCGGGGTCTAGCTGAAGACAGGACAAGTAGATGGCTAATGTGTAATGAGCATTCAACTAGATAGATGGCTGATTCCGTCCACTGCTCATCAGTTTCCCGTAAATACGTTCACTTGGTTCTTAGAAGATAGAAGTTGTCACAAATTGTGATTTGTTTAATGAGCTATAATGTAATGCTATCATCTGACCATCTCCATGGGAAAAGAGTCGAATCCGGGTTTCTTAGTTGGCCTGTTCGATTGAGCATCGCCATAGAGACAGCTGATGCACTGGCTTTCCTTCACCGCAATGATGTAATACACCGTGATGTCAAGACCAACAATATTCTCATAGACAACGACTTTTGTGTGAAGGTCGCTGATTTTGGGCTCTCAAGATTGTTCCCCAACGATGTCACGCATGTTTCAACTGCTCCACAAGGGACCCCCGGCTATGTTGATCCTGAGTATTACCAATGCTATCAACTCACGGACAAGAGTGACGTATATAGCTTTGGCGTGGTCTTGATCGAGCTCATATCATCATTACAAGCAGTGGATACCAATAGGCACCGGCACGATATAAATTTGGCCAACATGGCCATCAACAAAATTCAAAATCATTTAGTGAATGAGTTGGTTGATCCTCTTCTTGAGTTCGAAACGAACTATGCTGTCAGGAGGATGGCAACAGCTGTGGCAGAATTGGGCTTCCGGTGTTTGCAACAGGAGAGGGACATGAGGCCAACCATGGACGAAGTGTTGGATGGTTTGAGAGCAATCCAGAATGAAGATCTTGGTTCAGAAAACGGTGAAGCAGTTGTGCTGGATATCGGGGCAGATGATGTTGGACTCTTGAGGAACATGCCTCCCCCACTCTCACCAGACTCAGCTGGAACTGATAAATTGGTTAGCAGCTCTACCCAACCTAGTTCCTTTTAGCACTTCAGATTTCCATATCCTCCCATATCCTCCTCTTTCCTGCTTTTTGGTGAGCTTCAGCCTCCAGTTCTAAAATAGATGGTAAAAAGTATTGTATACTCATAATCAGATCCTCTGGACTGGATTCAAACTTCATTGTCTTTCTATATGCTTTGTTTTCTTTTGATGTTTATAGAAGATATACTGTAGAGGCATCACTATTTGATCCAAGCCAGCCAATGTACATAAATGAATGAAGCTGTCAGCACTTGGAATGTATTTTTATGTACAAAACTACCTTCTTCTTCTCTCTTTTTTTTCCTTATAATCAGTTTCAAGATATCACAAACGCATGGGTTTTTTCCGGTAAATCTTGGCATTTAAAAATGAATTTTTTTCCTCTTTTAATTTTTGTTCTTCAACTTAACAGGTTTATAAGAGGTGGGACAAAACTATTTAACCCAACTGGTGGTGGTGGAAGCTCAGACTCAGAGTTCAACAAAATCTCATGGTGGATAACTTGTAAATTTCGGAAAGCACCATTGTCATACGCGGATAGTGGACTAACTTTTGGTACAATACTTTCTTCGCTACAAGGTGCGGCAGAGATGGCCTTTGTTGCCACTACGATATTTTGGGTTTTGGTTTTGCCATGTTTTTTTTCTCTATACAATTATGAATAATTATACATTTATATATACACAATCAACTTACAATTATTTGAGTATATCTATTTGAGCAACCAAAAAAAAATCATGTAAATATGCAATTATATTTTATCTTTATATAGGCAAGTTCACTACTTCCCAAAGAGAAGAAGCCTCCCATTCTTCCTTTGCCATGCAAAAGCCTTTCCAATTCCTCCTATTTGTTGTATGAATTGACTAAAGGCTCGTTTCGAAGTGATTTTGAGAGCCAGAGTCACTTACGGGGAGAGGGTTTGAATTTAAGGAATTTATTAAGATACAATTTAGAATGGTTTAGCAAGTTTAGGGCTCCAAATTTAGAATTTAGGGTTTATGGCGGATCAACGCTAAATATATTTATATTAGCTTTGGTCGTCGGATCGGATGTATAACGGTTTGACACAAAAATAGACATTTATTAACCAGTCATTGTTAATTTTCGAAACATGTTTAATACGATAGTGACGCACTTTCTTTGTGAAAGTTACTTTTATTTTTGAAAATTCTAAAGCTTATAAATTCGTCTTTTATTTATATTCTTTTTAATAATATGCGTGGACATTTGTTTTGTAAGGCAGTACAAATAAGTTTCTAGTGCATTATAAGATCTAATTTTTATTTATTATATACATGAAGTTATTCATAATTTTTTTATAATACATTTTGTCAACACAATAAAAAATAAGTAAATACGACACAAAGTTATTAGTAAATGCACTACTAGTTTGTATTTATATATTTGGACACGATAAGTTAATCTTCGGGTCTTAAGAAAAACGCACATAGTGAGTGTATGACATTACTAATTGATTGAGATCCAACAACAGCCAAATTTCGTTTCCAACTCTCCCTTCATCATCATCAACCAAAAGCAAGACTTAAAAACAAACAAGAATATCAAAATCAATTCATCAAATCCGTCCCCAAAATAAGAACAAAATTCTTGGCTTCGGCCGACTCATCCTCTTCTAAGATTCCAATCAACAAGCAAAGATCTCCTCACAGGCCGCCACGTGGAAGCATAGATGGCCTGCAACCCAAATGGCCCCAAGAAGAAGCCAAAGAGTCTAAGAGGCCCATGACCGAAAGCAAAAGTTACACAAGACAGAAGAATCCATAAAGCCGTTTCCTCGTTCCTCTTGTTCACTCATTTGTTTCTCCAGAGCCCCACCCCCTCCAATATCAAATTCCAGTTCTTCTCTTTCTCTCTTCTCTATCTCTACCCAAAAAAATATATTAAAATATTATTAAAAAGAGTGCATTTTTCAGCTCCATTTGCTCACTCCAAACAGTGAATAAAGCAATCCCATCCTGATCCTCCCATGGCCTCCTCAGATCAGATCTCGCCTTCTCTCTCCAATTAACAACGAATTTACACTACAACTTATCCTAATTCATGGCGACCTTGCAGAAATTCAAGCTCTTAGCTACCCAATGCGCCGTAGCCGGAAGCCCCACCCGGAGCCCATCCGCCAGCCCAGTCATTCACCTCCGCCGCCGCAAAACCCTGAGAATGTTCCTCTCCCGCACCGACCGCCGCCGATTTACTAGCCGGAGCAACTCCGACCCTCCGGTAATCAACGGCGATGAAGACGACGACGATGATCGGCCGCAGAAGAGCAAGGAGGTCGCGAAGGTTCGGCACAAGCTTAAGGACCTCTTCGTCTCCTCGCCGCCTTTCGAAGATAGGGTTTCGGATAGGAGCCGAGAAATTGAACAAGAAGAGCGAGGGTTATTGTCGGCGACCGGAAGTGTCGGTGGTGTCGGTTCTGGTGGCTTC